TTTTCAGATATCGAATATATAGTTAAATGCAGTTGTATGAGACATCCTATATAATACAGATTTCTAGTATTGAAGCAGTCTGACTTATTATTGGATCATACTACTTACAGCGGAATTTAAAACACGATATGGAAATTACGTATTCTCGCGAATCAAAGCAATATATTTCGCAATGTTTTTACGCGTACAGCTGGCATAAGTTCGACAATAGCTCTTCTTTTGTTCGGCGTAATGATGTGGCTCCCTCAAGCTGATGCACACTGAAGCACTTCCATCCATATTTTTATCATGCTTCTTCCAATTACGACTTCATTCTTCCAAGGCTTCTTGATTTCCCTTGCATTTAATTTCTCTTTTCTCCACGATCAGTGTCTATGTTTGTGTTAAACGGTGCACATTGTCATGCATTTGCAAACTTTATTTAATAACTAAAAACTGACATTGATTTACTTCGTTATATATCTTGTAGATTATAAAGAGATTTACAAGGAATGGGTAACCTCAATAATTCTAAATAATATTTTTCACAATATTTCCTTGCATATATATTAATAATATTTAGTAATACTTTTCTAAATATTGTTTATACAATTCTTATTACAATAAGAATATATTAGATATTTATATATCGTAGTATACAGTTTCTTGTAAAGTTTAAATATAGAATACAATAAATTATAATACACGAAATATATTAAAATAGATTAAAATAGATATTCTGAAATATAATTCTTCAAATATTTTTAAGAATGCTTCTTTACACGTGTATTAGTAGTATTTCTATATATGATAACCTATAATTTGATTGCAACGGTCTACTTCTAGGGAAATATCACTATCGACATTCTTCTATACACGAGTACAGAACTGACTGTAACGTGTATTGCGATTGCTAGGTATATACATTTTTCTTCATTTAATCTCAGTTTAGAAAGTAATGCTTGAAAAATATGGTATGACCTATATTACGAATACGTCAGCTGGATGTTTTATCAAGCGGCTTTGTCCGACACATTTCTGGATCGAGCTACTTGTACGAAAGTCGAAACGTCTTTAATTATGGATTAACCCGTTAAAATTTAGAATGACATTGCGACACATTTGTGACGTTCATTAATTTCTTAAAGCTTCTTAATTTATTAACCTAGAAAATGGATACCATTAGTAAATTATTTAGTTCACTTCGAAAAAATTGCATTCTGTTTATATAACTATCATGTCAGTCAATAAATGTATTAATTTTATTTCTGTCGTAGATATTCTTTTGCAACTATTTCTATTTTCTTCTTGTTTGGGTATATTTGTTTTTTTCTAATAATTATAAATTTACAAAGTATTAAAATAATATTTTATATGTTGCATTTTGTACTTCATTTCCTTTACGAAAAATATTTCTTTGGGTTATTTTTTAATGCCCGCTGTATATACGTATATAATTTAAAATGTTTTTTAACGGTAATTATGATAATGTATTATTTATTTGCTTCTGCTTTCGTCGTTCGTTTTTGCTAGATCAATTAAGGTTTCGAGATAATCCAAATACGAGGTGTTTTCTGGGACATCCCGGTAATTAAAGAATAAAATGTAATAAATGTAAATATATACAGTGTACTTTAATGATGTAAATTTAGGTTGTTTCATATTTCAGATATATTCTGAATATTTTCTTATATAATATAATAATTGTTCTAGGAAGAAGCTTTAAAGTTTATTAAACAAATATTTCTTTATAATAATCGATTTGTCAAGTGTATAGTAAGGTTGTTACACGATCTTGTAAATACTGATATCTTAATTATTACACAGGGATTATATTTAATATTTTTAAACTAATTACATAAGTAATCGTAAAATAAATTAAAAATTATTTGAGATTTAATTTCAATTATGATTTAATTACTTCTTATTAATTACTGATTTTATTATTTATTTCGACTGCCTTATTAGATACTTATATCACTAAAATTATCTGTTACTGCATATAATATATGCACAAATTTCTGTTCTCTGAAATATCGTTTTCTCGCATTCCTGTAACGTTCCCTCAAGGTGCAGATTGTTACTGAACATTGCAAATTTCAGTGATTAACGGAGCTCGTCAACGATGTGAAGTTTTGTCCCCATTCCTAAGTTCTCGCCGCATGCATCTATTCCGGGAACTGTTAAATATTAATTTCCATTTTCTGGTTTGGGTTAGGTAAACTTCATGCATCTTACAATACTGTTACTTGCTTTTGAGAACAAAGGAAAGTAAAAATACTATAGACACTCTTACACGTGCATTTCTCTTCCCCAACACTCGATCCCTAACCCTAACCTCAAATATTCGACTCCTCTAACTGTAATATCAGTAGCCCTCGAAACTATTTCATTATCTTTATACTAAGGAACAATAAAATTGCATTGTAATTCTTGTGTAACATTTAATTTCATCGCAGAAATGTAATTGCTATTTATTTACTGTTATTTATATAGACATTATTATTATTTTATACAATTGAAAATGCAGTTTAAAAAAGTTAGAATCACGTGTAGATGAAGTTACGATTAAAAATGTAATTGTTTCATCTTAATATTTTAATCGTATGGAAGAACTAAAGTTAATCAAGCTAATTTTATCTTTTCATGGTTATGTGAACGAAAATCGGCTAGGGGAAACCTTGACTCCTCTTTAAAGTTTTACTTGAACCGTCTAATCTTTTAGTTAGAATATTTAGGTTCTAAAGAACTCAGTACGATATATTTTCACCGTTCGAAGTAAGGAATTACGAAGACTACTAGCATTTTTAGTGCAACGAACTATAGTTTGCATTCGTACCAACTGCAGTTATCGTTTCTTCCAGCTTCGCCGTGGAATAATAAAGTATTCACATTCTTATTTCAATGTATATTTATCTGTAACTCAATCTGTCAATAATCGTTCCAATGTCAATATTTTCATCAAACTCTTAAATCATAGGGGACCATAAAATGAACATTTATACTATATCGGCATAAGAAAGATTTGTTTTCCTATAGATTGTAAAATTGAACAAATAAAAATGTGCAATAAATACACTAGTTATTTTCGAAGGTTTCTTAACCCATTTGCGTCATTAAGTGGAATAATCCGCACGCAATAACTGTTACTCATCTATTTTAAGTTTATCTACCGTATAGTTATGTAAAAAAATAAATATTTATACTATAACATCATATAAAATAATTTTACTTGAAAACATATAATTTTTGAATTAAATATAAATAAGAGTTCGTTTGTTACACTTAATTTCAATCAAAAGCTTGAAAAGACCCTCTTTAGAGCGAAGATGCAAGTGGATTAGTCATTATGTTACTAATACTAGTTACTAGTACTTCTTACTAGTACATAGTTACTGGAAAAGTTACTAGTACTAACTAAAAACTATTGCCAGTATTAAAAGTTAGTTACTAATCTTTTGAACTCCTATTACAGAGTACAAAAGTACCACTCAGCTTTATTATCCCTTCATCCACTGTTTTACAGTAAGAGATACTGATGAGAAACTGTTAAGAGTACGCTTTGATCTACCTATTTGTAAAATGCAAGTGACGAAAGGCTAAAAATCTGTGACTTTCAACTTGCAGGAAGATCCACTACGATGACGACGATTATGTGGCGTTAAACGTAGCGGATGAGTTGGAAGAGGAAGAGATCTTCAGCGGTACCGAGAAGATCGAGGCACCTCGAGAGAAGTATCACAGGCCCCGTAGAAAGAGAAAACGGAAACGACGTAAGATTAACAATACGGGTCCTCAAGAAGAACTCGTCGATCCTGAAGAACTTCCACCACGTGCACGTTGGACGATCGTCGCAACCGCTTGCCTCCTTCTTACAATGTCTTTGCTCTTGGTCGGAGTTACGCTCAGAATGGCGCCAATCATCGACGATATGGGTGAGTGACAATTTCAACTATTTGAGAAAATAGGTAAACACTTTTTACTCGATAGAATCACGATAGAATTATATTCGAAAATATTTTTAATTTTAATTAAAAATTATATAATTGTTTGAATTGTAAAGGAAATTTTAAACAGGGATTTTGAGATACTATTTCAATACGTGAATTGTGTAAATAAATATAGATTAACAAATTTATTTTTACTATATATGAGTATATTGTAAAAATTCAATAATATTTATCAAAAATTTAAATTTTCAAAATATAAAAAAACCCATTACAATTCATATAAATTCGAATTATTAAATCTCGGAATCGATACTGTTAACCGTTAAAATTAAAACGTATAACCTTTATCCATTTTTGTAATTATGAAATAATTTCGTGCTATAGATTTTTATCGAGGCATGTATAAAATAATGAAGCATATTTCACTCGATGCTGCTAGCTGGTACCTTCGTTGAGAGGTGTCATAAGTATAAAAATATTTATAACCTAAAATTTGAATGATGTTTTACTCAATTATTGTAAATAATATTAATAGAATATTATTTTACACGTTCATACCAAATGCATCGTGGCATCCGCGATACAAGGTAGCTTTCAACTTCTATCCTGTAATATCTTCGAAAAGTTTAGAATCTAGAATATTTAGGGCGCGCCTCTAGAGGCGGTTCCTTGAATTAACGATAAAATATTCAAGCAACCCCTAGAGAGGTAACCTCCAGTTGCAATCATAGCGTGTTAATGTTTCAACGTATCAATACGCTGTTGTCTTCCCCAGGAACATATAGTCTCATTTATCTGCTGTCTGATTATATTCAAACTCACAAAGAAAGTCTCGCCAGAAACGCAATTACTCATACAGATCAAGAAGCTGATGTTGTTAGAATATAGGCCAAAGGAAGAAGTACATATCGATAAAACTTCTTTTTTCGTCTCTCGGTCCATCGTTATCCGTGTCAATAATTAAGTAGTTCTTTCTCTGTAATTATATACGGTCGTTAATTGAACTTCCCGAACAAAGTCGTGGTATTACATTTCTGATGATCATTGTGAGAGAATACAATTATATTTAATGATTTACTTTAACTATACATCCAACTTTCATTAAAGATACTTGATTCTTTAATTATATAAACCTACTTACATTGTTAATATTCTATATTGAATCAAATGATTTGTTTATAAAAATTATTACTTCCTAGATCTCACATTAAGATGAAGAACTTAAAGAAGAAAATAATTTTACCTATTCATTAAAGCATTCCTCGTTTACAAACCTCTTCAGAGTTAAGTATTAAAAATATGTAAAAAAAGAAAAAAGAAAGAGATTAATTCTGATAATAATAAATATAAATATACTACATGTGTCTTTAATATAATATAATTTATTTAATATACTAACACAAGAAAAGATTCCCGAGGGAAGAGTTATCACATCCAAACTATCGATAACCCACGTGACGAGATCATTCAAGCCAATAACAGAGAAACGTTCATTCGTTAACGTCTGTATACACATAAATAACGCATAAGAATCAATAAACAGAATGTTGAGTTTACGTTTAAAAATACGAATAAAAAGCAAGATCTATTACCTTCTGAAACATCTCTTAAAACTCATATTCAACTTCCATAGCTCAGTCACGCATTACCTACGGGAGGAGAATAAACGCGAATCGGCAGATCCGAAATCGATTCGAACCTAACCTCAAATCATCCTAGCTTCGTCTCCCGAAAACGGTTATCTCAGCCTTTGGCCAATTACCCAGTGGAATCGTGTGGCAGTCGATAGTACTTCCGGAACAGTATCCAGCACGGAAAAGCACTTTCGCCACGGATTTGTGTACCAGGAAAGTACACGCGCACACGTCGACGTACACATCCAGCCGTGAGACAGAAACAAGCATATGCAGTGTGAGAACTCGAGGGCGCTCCGCGCCTCTAAATTAAAGGCGCGCACGTCTGCGAATCCTCCAGTCAGTCGTCGGATTTCCGTGGAGGAACCACCTCGAGGAATTTCAATTCGCGACTCAACGTTCACGCCTTCCGCTCTCCTTTCGAACGGATCAACAAAGTTTAGACCGTCTCTCGATCGACTGCATCGATGCTCCAACACCGACTCGTTAGTGTTTCCCTCGAAGTGATGCAAGTGCCTTCTTTCGAACAAACAACTTCTCCTATGCCAACGTTCTATTTTCGATCGACGATAGTTTCCTACGGTCACGTGTAGTTTATCGAGGATTTTGCATTTACAATAGCCGGTGCGTCGGTTCGGACTGAATATGCCGGGAATGTATCGATCTTTGTAGGCAACTTCAGTTCGACGGTTCGAAGTGACACTTGAGCTTTAAATATTCGACGATCGTGGAACAACGCAGTATTGACTAACGCGAAGAGGTAACTACTGGTGATCGATGTCGCAGGAGAGATACTGGCACGTAAAAAATTTCCTTTTAGGTTATGTTTGCTTCGCTTCGTGTAATTCGATATGGATAGATTGAGATACAGTTTCTTTCGCCAGACGGTGTTTATATGGCACAAGAATGTATTTGAGGCACGCCAATATTTGAAGGAATCGATGAGATAGTTCAAAAGTATCATAACGTCTTATAAAGATTATATTTTACGACGAACTATTGGAAGTTTTTTTTTTTTCTTTGGAATAAAGGTACGGTGAGAAAGTTTAAGTAATTAATGATCGTTGAAATTAATGGAAAATAAGAGTAAGATGGTACGATTTAGTTGCTTTGATCAATTGACTTACAAAACTATTTTTTTTATAGACGTCACTTGACTTTTTGGATCGTGATCGAACGTTTTCGATGTGTGCCAAGGACTTCAGTATTTTGGTATTTTATCTTTATTTGAACAAGCTTCGCAATTGTACAGTTTTATTAGTTTTATTTTAGTATATTGTCGTCCTGTCGAATATTATAGAATATATCAACGTTATGTTTAAATTCTGCTTTAAAAGTGGATAGGGTAAATGAGAAAGTAATGTCGAGTTTAAAATAGCAGAAGTAAAGATCAAAAACGTTTTCTTTCGTGCAGTCTTGCTTTTGCTTTTAAGCTAATTCGTTTCCTGAGCTAATTACGTTTTCTAAGTTCCAGTTTCGTTTGTCCTTAATTGTTGGATTCAAAAATAGAAGTCTGTTTGCACGACGATTTTAAATTACATTTCGATGGACTCATTTACCAAATTTTAGATTAAAATTGCGAATTTGAAGAATTATTTTAATTTATCAATAATAGTTGCTACCAAGAAAAATTTGTAGACAACAAAATGATTATTTTGCTTTTGTTGTATTAAAAACCTAGAATTAGAAAACTAGAAAATCCAATTTATTTTTTTAATTAGACTATTTTCCAAAATTGGAAATAAAATTTAAAAAAAAAAAAAAAAA